GTGTAATCAATTACTATGGCTTAATCTTTCATGACATTTTCTTGAACCCTACTTGAGTAAGCTAGACTTTATTGCTAGTATGCGAAGTTAACAACCTTTTATTAATCTCTAAAGTGCAATTCTTGCTTTTGCATTTAGTTTCACATCATTTTGGTATCAGAGCATGATAGCATGTGCTACAAGTTCTTAAGAGTCTAGTTAACCATTTATGAAACTCGTTTGCATGCATACCATTGCCTAGTTAATTTAATTTCTCTATTTTACATTGCTGTCCAGAAAATTTCTGTATTTTTTCATCATTGTAAGCAAGCCTAATTCATTGATTAAGTGATGTCTTTGTCACTACAACACCCCTAATTGATTAGGTTGCTTAAGCCAAACAATAAGACCTGCTGTCCAAAAATTTCCAGCACTTTTATTTGACCTTTAGGTGAGTCTAGACAAGTGTTAGATTGCTGTCCACACCTTTAAACCCTCCCCTAAACTTAGACAACTTAGGTCCTTGCGGTAGGTTGCTGTCCTCAACATTTCAGCATCATTTAGTGGCCTTAGGAGCATATTACCTTAGTGTCTAGGTGCTGTCCACCACCCCGGTACTTCCCCTAGCGACCCCTAGCTTCCACCCATGGATCCGGAACATATTCAGGCAACTCTAGACCTCATAGTGGGCCAACTTGGAACTGTTACGCAGCAAATCCAAAACACCCAGACGGACTTACCAGACTTTAGGCGCCAAACAAGTGATCGACTAGATAATATTGAGCGTATAGGAAACCCAGTTATTTATACCCCTTCTAGACCGCACTCACCCTATGGGGATGTCAACCGAACCGATCATGGCCATCCTCGAGATCACTACCGTCATAACCCTAGACCCAATCATGACACCGTAGGAAATGAACCCACTTGGAGAGATAACGACGCTCAGTTGTTAAAGAACATCCGTATGGACGCTCCTTCCTACGGTGGTACCCTTGACCCTCAGATTTTCTTAGATTGGATCAAAGGAATGGATAGTTACTTCAAATGGTACAGTATCTCTGAGGAACGGAAAGTTAGGTTCGCATAAATGAAACTTACGGGCCGAGCCAACCACTACTGGACTAACTTGGAGAATATGCGGGAAGCCCGAGGAGAACACCCCATCACTGATTGGAGAACGATGAAACAGGAGTTCAAAAGAAAATACCTCCCCTCTTCCTACTACCCTAAGCTCTTAGATAAATGGAATAGATTGACCCAAGGGAGTAGACCTGTTAAGGAGTATATCTCTGCTTTTGATGATTACCTAATTCGTTGCAGTGGTGAGGAGACCACTACCCCAGCCCAAATCCTTTCAATGTTTAGAGCTGGCTTAAGAGAGGATCTCCGTAATGAGCTTTTCGTGAGAGGAATTGACACTTTTGAAGCAGCCTGTAGTTTAGTGCTCGACCTAGAAGAATCCAGGACCCATTCTAACTCTAGACATCCCGACTCCCGCATTGGCCCTTATAGATCTTCGTCCAATCAACCTCATACCCGACCTGCTGGTCCTGTAGTTAACCGACCAACTGCGAGTCAACCTCAATCCCGTCCCGACTTTAAAGGCAAGACACCCAAGCGTGACACTCCCAAAGCCACTTCTGGAACCAAGTGCTATCAGTGCCACGATTATGGACATATCGCTTCGCAGTGTTCTAGTCCGTACAAGGTCACCATCATCGAAGAAGTAGAAGAAGAAGAGGAAGAACCTGAGACTGAATTGACCCATCATGTGGACGGTGAAGAAGATTTTTTTTACGAGGATGACCCTGTTGACCTGCAAGTCGTTAGATGCGCGTTATCCCAACTCAAACCCAACGACGATTGGCGAAGAACGTCGATCTTCCATACCCTTACAAAGATCGAAGACAAGAGCTGCAAAGTTATCATCGACAGTGGAAGTTGTATCAATGCAGTTTCTTCAGTTATGATTTCCAAACTTAACCTCAAGATAACACCCCACCCAAATCCGTATAAGGTTGCTTGGATAAATTTGACTACCATAGAAATTAAAGATCGGAGCCTTATTCCTATAGAGTTTGTGGGATATCATGAGAAGATTTGGCGTGATGTTTTGACTATGGACGTAGGTCAAATTACCCTCGGTCGCCCGTGGTTATTTAATAACGACGTCCATATTTATGGGAGAACTAACACCTGCGTGTTTGAGCATAACGGAAAGAAAATCAAGCTAATACCTTCACAACCTAAGCCCCATAAGACGAAAGCCAAGCCTACCCCTGCCAAACAAAGCAAACCAAGCCTACCCCTGCCAAACAAAGCAAAGGACTACACCTTTTGACTACAAAGGAAGTAGAAGATGAGATTAACCAAGGAACCACCATGTACACCCTAGTGGCTCGTGAAACAAATGAGGTATTAGGAGAACCCACTCCTGAAGAGGTCCAACCACTCCTTGAAACATTTTATGATGTTTTCCCTGAAGAATTACCTAACCAAATGCCCCCTCTGCAAGACATACAACACGCGATAGACTTGGTACCCGAAGCCTCGCTACTCAATCTTCCCCACTACCGTATGAACCCAAGGGAGCATGTCAAGTTAAAAGAGCAAGTGGATGATCTACTAAAAAGGGGATTTATAAAGGAAAGCTTAAGCCCATGCACGGTCCCAGCCCTTCTAACCCCTAAAAAGGATGGCTCCAGGAGGATGTGTGTTGACAGTCGTGCCATCAATAAGATTACTGTGAAGTATCGTTTCCCAATACCCCGCTTGGATGACATGTTGGACATGATGACCGGGGCAACCCTATTTTCTAAGATCGATCTTAAGAGTGGCTACCATCAAATAAGAATCCGCCCTAGGGACGAATGGATGGTTTTCAAGACTAAAGATGGGTTGTATGAGTGGATGGTTATGCCGTTTG